CTGCTGTTTTAATTGATTAGTTTTTTTTAATAGAATGTTTTTTTAAATAAGTAAAAAGTTGAGATTAAAATTTGTATTTGTTACCTATAACTACTGTATAATTAACAGATTAACATATTGTGATATTTAAGCAAGGTCTGCTATAATTTGTTTTGTTAATTTTAGTTTGATAAATTTGTTCCTACTGTTTTAATTGATTAGTTTTTTTTAATAGAATGTTGATTTAAATAAGTAAAAAGTTGAGATTAAAATTTGTATTTGTTACCTATAACTACTGTATAATTAACAGATTAACATATTGTGATATTTAAGCAAGGTCTGCTATAATTTGTTATAAATTTTGATTATTTTTGTTAATACAGACAAAAATTATCTTAAAAGATAATTTTAGTTTGGTACATTTGTACCTACTGTTTTATTTTATTAGTTTTTTTCAATAGAATGTTATGTTTTAAATAAGTAAATTTGAGTTTGATATTTTAATTTGTTATACCTACTGTTTAACTAACAATAATGTGATATTTAATAAATTTAAATAAAGTTTTTATACCTACTAAGTTATTATTTTGATTGTTTTATAAAAGGTCCAAATAAAGAAACGGGTGGTCCATTTTAAGGTACTGGTTGCCTATATTGGACCACTTAATAAGTTTTACTAAAGTTAAAATATTTCACAGTCAAAATTAAAAATTTGAAAAAATGTTTGTGTAAAATTGTAGCTTAGATATGTATGTATCTTTGTAGTACAGTTTCATGAATATCTTTCATAAAAATTAGCAGAAAAACTAAAAAATGTCACAAATGGTCCAAAATAGGCGACTCTCCCCTATAGTTTAAAAGTGCGATGTTTTTAACTTCAGAAAAACGAAATTTTGAATATAAAGTTAAATACGTTATAAACTTTTGATAATTGATAGATTTTATATCACGATTCGTCGTACAAAACAACACAATGTTTCGGTATGAAATTCAAGCTTATGAAATTTCAAACAAAATCTGTTACCTATAATACCAAAATACGTCTCATTCTCATATATAGCACATAAGGAATTAAAGTGATAAACCATAAGTCCAAGTCAGAATTTCAAATACGAGAAGTTCAACAATGTATGTTAGGTGTAAAATAAAATAGTGTTTTCCAAAACATGTACACTGTGCACACTTGGCTTTCAAAACAATAAAGTCGTTATTATTGCAAATAACGATATTATGTAGGTAGGTAGGTACTATATAGGTATACCTTATAATTATTATACATGTTTTCAGTATGACAACGTTGCATTTAAAAATTAAAGCCATGTGGAATCGTGTACCTATATAGAAATTTAATTTGCAGAGTCATCGTGTATGTATAAAAATATTTACTATAAATTCATTGATTCCGCAATTTTATTATATTTTTTATTTAGGCTTAAAATGCCAAAATGTCAACCGCGTTAAATGCTACTATAGAGTCACGCAATTTTGGTGGGCTCGGGGCCCCCTCCCCTCAGATATGCCAATAGTAGAAATCTTTAAATCTTCTAAAATAAAGATAGAACGCAATAATTTAACATACATTTTTTATGATAAAAATATTTTTTTCCCTCAAATTATTGCATAAAGTATATATTATTTAATTTCACGTTTCTCTGCGTTGTATAATATTATGTTGACATATTTTCAACGTTATCGCATTATCTGGGTTACAAAAACAGCCCAATGATAATATTTCATGAGTTAGGTATGATACTATGATTACAGGATTATCATCAAATTATTTTAACAAACATGTTATAGCATCCTTATATATTTTTTTTATTCATAGTACAGCATCAACTACTAGTATATACTAGCTTGCAAAAAAAAATTAGGTCCTTAGATTAAGTTGTACTCTTGTACATATCAATACGTTTTAGAAATATGATGATTTTGTTGGTGTTGTCTTGGATTGGCCTAAGGGCTTCGAAGCGGTTGTCAGGCATTTCTAAGCTTTTTCTGGTACCTATCCATATGGTTTTTAATGCGATTTTATAATATGTTCTTATAGGTGTTGTTAACGATAGGGGTACCTGCGATTTGTTTTTATATAATCTATAAAATGAGTTTTAAGACTGCAAGTGTAAAAAAAAATTAGGTTATGGTTTTGATTTTAAATAGTATAACAAAATTTGTTCACCCTCAACCAGCCCCAACTAGTTTTACCTATATATAGTTACGCCCCAGACCAGTGGAGTAATTATGAATTTGTCGTGGGGGGAATACATTTTTTTTTACACACAAAATATTAAATTTTCAAGTACATTAGTGAGTATATAATATTATGAAGGCTCTGGGGGGGATCTATCCCCATAATCCTCCCCTTAATTACGCCCCTGTCATAGACAACTATAAGTACCAGTATGAATAGTATCATGTATAGGTATCTAAATAGTAATAGTGCTATGGTAATACTATAAAAATATAAAAAGGGGATGTGAATATTCATGCCGTAGACTTGCATGAGACTGGAGACATATTATATCGTATATTATAGGTATTACTGTATTAGGTACAATTAGTTTTAGTCGCCATACAAAATAGTAGCCGCCAAGCTAAGTTAAATTGTTTGTATTAAATATATACACACTGTCACTCTCCATTAAATATTTAAATACAAACGATGATAAATATTAAATACTTCTATGTAATAATGACGAGCGAGACGTCTACTTATAATAATTTCGCGTTGTATGGTCAAAGGACGAGAGTAATCCCCCAAGTATGATAGAAGCGCCCGCACTGCAGCAAACCCCTATGACACAGAAACCTGTGCCTATATTATTTTCAGTGGTAGATAATATAAAGACAGTAAAACATAATACACATGATATAAATTATAATGTTATAGCATAATAGATTATTATGAAAAAACAACAATACTGCTAATAATTTTATAACAAAGGATGAAAAAAATAATCGTTATAATACGAAGTACACAACTCACTGGAGTTCTGTGTTTTTGAGGTCTGTTGAGTGAGCGCTTGGAAAACTAAAACAAATAATAAAGTAATTGGACATCGTGATTTGATCGTGGATATTGCTGAAAGCATTATTGTAGAATGTAGATATAAGTATATAACGCAGGCAAAACAATGCTGCAGGTCGAACACTTCCTCGACAGTAGGTAATTTGTTTTGTTATTTGTCGAAAAACCAAAGTGTTTTATTGTGTGTGTGTTTGATCGGTGTTCAAAAAAATCCATTCTACCATTGATTCAACAATAATGTATTAGGTCGGGTTCAATATTATTTTCAGACTACTGGACATCGTACAATAATATTCATGGGGCAGCATGTAATCAAGATTCAAGGTCAAGTCAACCATAAAGTCCACAAGTACAACTTTATGGACCCTGTCTCTGGAGCTCTTACCCAAAACATGGATATGATGAGGGGTGTTTCAAAATGGGGAACAAACTATGTCGTTGGCTGCTCGAAATTTCCGTGATTCTTATTGGCGGCAGAGTTCGTGAGGCAGTCAAAACTTATACCGAAAACGATCCTAATTTCAAATAAATTTTATAGAATATTTCAGAATTTTTGCGTCCGTCGTGATACCATTATACCGTAATAGTAAATTAGGTACATTTTTAAAAAATATTTGATCACTTTCTTTTTTTTATTAAAATGTACGTGATATTTTACTAATTTTTGTAATTATAAAATAATTAATAAAAAAAAATTAAAATATTACTACATGAACGGTATATTTTATATTAACGGCAATCGCATTCCGCGGCGGGGCGATAACATAGACCAGTGCCTATAAATACGATAAACAAAAACAAACAAACGAATAATAATAATAAACAAAACGTCGTGCGGGTAGGCAGGCAGCAGCTTATAATAGTATTATAATAGCGATGTGACGGTGATGGGGCACTTGTAGTAGGCCTGTTGTGTATCATTACCTGTAGCGCGCGCGCCGTATTCATTGTTTTAAAAAAACGGCGAGTGGCGACGGACGACGACGACGACAACGGTCCTAGGGCAGGAATTCCGTATAGCCGTTCGTCGTCGTCGTCGGAAAGGAAAAAGAGATGACGAGGAGGAGGAGAAGAAAATAAGTAAAGAAGAAGTAGAAGTAGATGGATAGAAGATGATGATATTAATAATAATAATAATAATAATAAAAATAATAGTAAGCAATAATAATAGTAAGTAATAATAGTGGAAAAAGGAAACGGCGGAGGAGAAATGAGAGGAGAAAAAATAAACTAGACGAGGCAAAACACGTAAACCGGCATGCGCGCACACACACACGCACACACACGCGAGGCGCGCGCGCGATCGCTCACACACAAAACTCGGTCCGTGTTATGGTAATAGCCGCATTCCAGAGGATCCGCGGCCTGATTGGCTACCGTTTCGGTGATGTCATGCGATTGATAATAGAACCGGCCGCTGGCGCGCGCGAGGGCAGGCTGGCTGGCTGGCTGGCCGGCCCGATCGGTCGGCGGGCGCGCGGGCCGCACCGCGAACGCTCTGTATACACGCGCGCGCACGGTCGTTTTTCTTTATGACGGGGGGGCAACGCCGCAGCGTTACTCGGTCCGACCATTTCCAAGATGGCGAAGCGCGCGTGACATCTACGGTCGTCGGTCGGTCCCCGCTGCAGTCGTCGTACGTAGCGAACGAACGCGATATTTTTTTTTACTCTCCACTCTCGCGTCGTAGGGAGTCCAAAAAATGTTCTCGACCGATTTTTAATCATTACGATTAGTTTTCTTATTTTACATAATATTATAATATAATAATATGTATTTGATCGCCGCCGCCGTTCTCCGCAGTGTATAGTAATAATAATAATAATAATATCTACCGCCGCCGCCACCACAAACGCTGTTATCGTTATCGTTATTATTACTATTATTATTATTATTATTATTATCGTCATCGTCGTACCTACGCGGTGTTTGGCCGATGTGATGGATTCGATTTGGTGAGTCCGACTTTGATGGATACAGTACCGCAGACACGATGCCGAGACGACGGAACGGAGAGATACCGTTGCCCGACGGTTGGGATTTCGCTAGAGACTACGACGGCAAAGTGTACTTCATCGACCACAATTCCAAAAAGACCACTTGGATCGACCCCAGAGACAGGTATAGAGCACCGACATTGATAGTATATTAGTATTATTATTACCAAGGTGGACGTATCCGCCTTGATTATTAACACAGGGATAGGAACACCTAGGCAAATATTAAGAAAATAAACGATATCTTCGTGGGCATTCTTTGGCCATCGTTAGATTGATAACGATAATAATGTAGGTACTCATATAGGTAGTATGATACTATGTCGAATAATAAAATATATACGTATAAAAATAAACGTATTTTTTACACATTTTAGCTATTTTTTCTCATCATAATTCGTTGTTAATATATTATTATAATAATATTATAATATTGTAGTTCCCAGTCCGATCTCCAAATGCGTGTCTTCGATGCGTGCGCGCGCGTGTTCGACTCTTCGTCGAAATTGTGAAATGCGTACACAAACTCGCATTCCTTCGACAGAAATCCGGCTGGAACATCACGGTTATTATTATTATTATTACTATTTTTTTCCTTTTTCCCGAACCGTCGTCAGTGCCATCTATATTGAAATATGCCAAACAAACTACTCCTATCCACCGCCCCCTCCTCCGCACACCTACCCCCCCTGCTGCCCCACCCGCCCTAGTAGCACCGCATTCCGAGTTCAGTGAATATACACGAAATTTATCCAAACAACCGTGTGGCGTGTGTGTTGTCTTACAACTATATTATTATTATTATTATGTTCACCGCACCGGTGTAATAATGAAAATAAATAATTGTATTTGACTAAATAGAAGCGGTCATTTAGGTGCCTATAAATAATGTAATAATAATGTAATACCTAATGATAATGATAACAACAATGATAGGTAGAAACCCGTACTTGGGGAACTTTTTCGACCTTTTTAAAAATGTAGGTGTAGACGTTTGATTTACTTTTTTTCGGTTCCTATACAATTTATTATAATGGTCTTAAAATAATGTATAAGTACACGTACCACAATAAGGTCATCTATACAGCATAATATCATAATGTAATATTAGAATTTAGAAGTGTTTTACTCGTAGAGTGTATACTGAAATATTTTAAATTGTAATCGTTTATTACAGACGATCATCCGATTTTTAACAACAACAATAACAATAGTAGTAATAATAACAAAAACAACAATATGTATGTACGAAATCGGCCCAAAAAACATAGTACCTACCTACCTATTTGATTTTCAATATTATGAAACGGTTCGGTTAATAAATAGCGTTTTTTATTTGCTTTTTGTATGGGTTTAGGTTTTCGTTGGTGGTAATAATAATATTGTGTTTTATAGGATGGTTACGACTTACAATTATTTTATTATTAAATTTCACTTAATTTATGTCAATGTTTTAAATAATTCGCTTAGACGATCACAATATGGCTTTGCTAAAAAAATTATTTCGATATTTAAAAATATTAGTTGTTATTAGTAATATTGCTTGGATATCATCTAAATTGAATTACAAATTTTAAATTGATTATAAAGATGATGTAAGTTGAGATACACTTATCTGTATGTAGACATTCTAAATTCTAATCATCAGAATACCTACGTTATAATCTAATATATTCTCATAGTTCTTAGGACTCAACAGTCAAAAGGACTACGAAAAATTGGCATAACAGTCTTCAAAACAGTTGTTCTTTATTTTATCATTATATTATATAGGTGCCTAAAAGTACCTATATAAATCATTTAAAAGATAAATTACTTTTTTCATGCTTTCTTTTATTCGTATTATTAGGTACCAATTATAATAATATAATGATAAATATAGGTACCTAGCTTCCAAGTTAACCTTTTTATGAATGTAGGTATGTCATAAATCATAGTTAATAATTGTTTAAATAAAATATTTGTTTCGTATTTCCGATGTTCCATTTTTTACAACATTTTCATAATTTGTTATGAAATCCAGATCGCTGAAATTCAAAATATGCTCAATTTTTATTTACGTATTATATATTGTGTGTACAATGTTTTCAACTATTATTTAACACCTAACTAGAACACAAATTAGAAATGTACCTACTCAACGATATTTGATAATTGATAAGACTTAAAATTATAATATTACGTTTGAGATTATTCGCGATATGCGTACCTATATTTATATTTGCTATATTATTTAATATTTAATTATGAACAACGTGCGATTAAATGTTACAGTATCCAATTATACTTGGAATTATACTAATTATTTTGATCCTTGCATTTTGGTTACTTTAAGGTTCTGAAGATTAACAGTGTTAATTGGGTGTTAATTTAACACTTAGTTTCAAAATAACCACTACATATCAATGTATATCATAATATGATCATTGATCAGTGATCATATTATCGCAACCTAACCTTACCTGTAGACAGATAATTTTCTGACATGAGCTTGCAATTCAAAAAAAAAATAGGCAGTCAATAGGGTATTTATAATTATAATATTATAATAATATAATATATTATTTAAAGATTTCTAAGGTACATAGAAAATCGATAAAATGTATACTTACCTAAAAATAGGTTCTTACTTCTTATCTTAAAAAAGGACCAACCGTTTGTTGCCCGTATTTTCCGGTATAGAAAATATAAAGTTGAATGTTCAGTGTCGACTTACAAGTTTTATAATAATTAAAAATAATACCTGTTGTATATCATTAGTATGATGTACAATTTTTGGTTAATCTATAAATGTATAACTAACAATAGTCTTTGATCACTTTTAGTGCGGTTACATTAAATATACATTTACCTATTGAAAATACCCTCGAAAATACCTAAACAAATGATTCTTATATTGAATTTTGTCCAGAGATATTAACTTTGCATGTTCGCATATATGTCACACGAGTGTATGTTGACATAATATTGTAATGTTGTGTTAAAAATAAACATCCCATAAGCCACACCCTCTCCAAGTTGTGTCGCCATGCTGTCTACAAAACCGCGCAGACATCTGAATTTTTTATGTCTTGATCCTTTTTATTTCTGAATTCCTCCCGAAATGCTGTTGATGATGATGTCACTAAATAAAAAAACAAAATCCATTCTTGCAAATTACATTTACATACCTATTAATATATTATATTGTAAATGTATTTTTGTTTTTATCCATATTAATAATTAGAGTATAGTTTCATATGTTCTAATCTTCTTATAGTTACAATTATATAATATAGAGTATTTCTTCTTTGGTAAAGAGGATATAGAGGTACCTAGTTATTTAACACTATTTCAGAGTTGAGAAATTATTTGTTTTTTTTTTAACCATTTTGACTACATCTTAGTTGGGTAGAATAGTGAAAATGTTTAATTTTAAATTTTAATCCTAATGTAACAATATTTTAACAGTGAAACCGAGTATAGGCTATAATACTATATTATAGTTATTTTATTGTTAAAAGTCTTTAAAAAATAATTGTTTAATTGAATTATAGATTGCAATTTGCAGTATAATATATTTGTGTTTATACTGCCAATTGATATAATATAAAATACCAAGTACTTGCTAGTGGTTTTCGATTAAAGTATAATTAGTTTATAAATCGTGTAACAGTATATAATGTCATGTGACAGATATCGGTAACTTATTTCATGATTTATTGTTATAGCAGTATGAATGTTTGATGGTACTTTGTGGTACCATAATATACTGGTTTTGAAATTTTTTATTAAAAAATTTAACTATTTAATATTTTTCCTGTGTTTACGTATTTACCAAATAATAATTTTTCATTAGATAATACGTATAACGCTGTTATTTTTAATTAATTTATGAAAATACATACTATTGATATTCAAATTCATATATTTTGTGAGTCTATGTCTAAAAATGTTTATAAGACCGTTATGTCCAATAATAATACCTATGTATACAGTTTTTTGACTAGTTAATTAAATAGATTATTAATTAATTAATTGCCATTACATAGTAATTTAAATAAACATGTATACAAAAGCTTATAATAGTTATAACTTGCTTATAACTTATGAGTAACAAACATTTTAAACTTAGATAGGTATGTATTGTGAATTATATTTTTAAACAAACTATATGAAATTCTATATGCAACTAAAATTGTGTTACGCCAATTTATGGAAGAATTAATAGCAATTAAAGGAAACAAAAGTTACCCATTTTAGTGTTGATTTTTCAATATTGCTAAATGCCATGTGAAAATTCAGTAGGTACAAAAAGAGTTTTATACTCGTGTATAATTTTGCTGTGTAAAGCCTTTTGAAATTGTTACATACTTAATTTTTTATGTCTAGTGACGTGAAAATGACTTAATAAACAATTTGAATGTCAATTTCGTAATTCAGCACATCGAATTTCACCAAGTAGGTAGGTACATGAAATTCCAATGAATTGATTGATCTGATCCTTATAGACATTGTCGTTTATAGATTTACCAGCCATATGTTATCTATCTATTTTAATTGTCAATTGTTATTAAAAATCTTAATGTTAATAAGAAATCGATTATTGACAATTTGTTAATTGAGCATTAGTCATAAGCATAACTCATAAATCATATTATTATAATCGATATTATCATACCATAGAAGTTATAGGTGAATCTCATCAAAGTATGTGTATTGTGGACAGGAAATTCCTGATTCTATTGTAGATGAAAGAAAGAAAGAAGGAAGGAGGAAGAAAAAAGGACTGCGCGTATACGTGTGTTGAGGAATTCTTAACATTTTTTTTGATGTATAAAATGAGAATACTATTAATTATTATTATTAATAGTAATCACTTGGTAATCAAGAAACATTTTTTTTTTTTTACATGGATCTTACTTTGTATGCAATATAAATCTACGTGTAGGTAGTGTATAGTACATATTTTTATGTCCATCATTACATACACACCGACTACTTTGTAACACACGTAACATTCACATTTTTGTAACGCGTTTATTTATTATTTAAAACTATAATCAAATGCATATAATGGGTATACGAAAGGTTAATATTTTAATAATGACGAAAATAAAATAATTTTAATCATTGGTATAGATTTCTAAACAATGAAGTTATGCACAATAAATATTTTGTGTATGATTAATTTATCATAATATTATATTACTCAACTAAAAATATTTCAGTTCAATAATTAGATACCATTTGTACTAATTTTGTTTGTTTTTTGATTATAAATAATAATATATTTGGTTTATGTCAGTCATAATATCTGTTGACATTTTTGTTCGATTTTACGCCGCCGCCGTTGTGTAACATTTTTTTTTTTTTTCATACCTAACCATACCATTTATCAAACATACATTGTAATAGTCTATTATGTATTCGATATTGTATATAGATACAGATACGTAACAAAACGTATTAGGTACGACGTGTATAGTACGTATTTATCATATTCAATATATTAAATCGAACAGTGAATGCATTAGATTAATGATTATAATATATTTATGACGGTGTACTATATTTTAAATTAATGATATCGTTTTTAATTTTAATTACACATTATTAGTAGGTACCTATACCTAATATCATAATTTTTTACTTTGCATTTTAGACTATCTATATTATTATGCACGTTGGAACTATTTTTAATTATCAGTTTTTTTTTTTTTTTTTTAATTAGGTACACCAAACCACAATCGTTTGCCGATTGTATTGGTAATGAATTGCCTCTTGGATGGGAAGAGGCCATCGATCCAGTTATCGGAGTCTATTATATCAACCATTTCAACCGTATGTATATTTAAAACATAAGACAACGCTTTGTTATCATTATTACTTAACAAAATAACACGACCTCACGGTTTCCATTATACGCTTCTCGTGTTCTAGAATGCACCCAATTGGAAGACCCAAGGTTGGAATGGAGAGCCGTCCAGGAAGCTATGTTGAGAGATTACCTTCATACAGCCCAAGACGTCTTAGAAGTAAGTAGCTCCACATTGTTGTTTACGGTGCCAATATAATATAATCATTAGGATAAACTAAAAATATTGTGTCACGGAGAAATATATTTTGATCGTACTAATATTTTTGTATAATATTATAATATCGAGAGATAACAAACAATCGTCAATCTCAAATTAATAGTACCGTCGAATCATTAGAGGAATGCCGATATTGAAAAAAATTTAAATAATGTATACATTTATAATAATATGTCATGATATTATTATTATTATTATTATTGTTAAAAGGAATTTTGCGAGTATGAAAATTAAAATTAGAATGACGGATGACAGTAATTTATTGATATCGTGAGAGGAAAATAAAATAATATATATTTTATGGATATGGTATGCAGTTACTTTTCGCGTACTACTACTATACATATAACATTATATTATAGTAGTGGCCTATTCATTATTTAGTGATAGTTCTGCCCCACTTTTAGTTCAATGACAAATTCCATCGGACTAACCTGACTAGTCATAAAACGTTAACACCGCAGCCGCGTTACCTATACGTAATTTTTCGAATTCCACTACGATCGTATATACAGGGTGATGTCCATCGTGGCGGCACCGTCTTTCCGGCGAAAAAAAATTGTATTCATCTCGTTGCATATTATTATCATGATGATTGTATGACTTTGTCGTTTGCTGCGAAATCTTCGTAGTTCAGAGTTCCTTTGATAATAATAATATAACACAACGCGATGTCTTACGCGATGTATAATAATAATAATAATAATAACAACAACGTGGCTGAGCACAGATTCGGTGGTGGTGGGGCGTTTGGAATGACGTAGAAAACAATGTCGGAATATATAGTTTTCAGCTGCTTCTCGAACTTCGATTTTTTTTTCACTCACAACACCGGCGTGTCTGAAGGAGAAGAAGAAAATAATATCCTAACCAATGATAAATCGATTTATCGACCCCCCGCAAGTCGTCCAGATCGGACGATATAATATTCATTAGATTTTACGAAAACGATGCAACTCTCATTACCACTGCACAATAATACGAATAATAATATGATGTACAACTATTCCCCGAGTGGCTCTGTCCGTATCGCGTCGTAATATTATATTATTATTACTATTATTTATATGGCCTGTACGTATTTTATTTTACTAGTACACTCGTTACAGATCACCACGTGATTTGAACCGACGTTACAACAACAACAATAATAATTACACTTTTACGAATATACCTAATACCTGTAATATATTATTATTACGAGAAGCGTAGGCAGGTATGTGTGTGCATGTGTATGTCGTAGGCGCTGCACTGCACACACGAATGTTATCGGTTTTTGTTCATAATAATATAAGCCCTACCCTGGGATACACACGCACCTGTAAGAGAAAAAAAAATATTATCTTCTTGTACATTTTTTATTTTAAAAAAATCGTATCCCACCCCTCCGCCGCTCGTCGGACTCGAACGCGGTGGTGTCCGCGTGTGGTGCGTAGTGCGTACGCGCGCAACACAGTCGCGTGGCTCGGAATTTTATTTTTTCATCCCACCCCCCTGCCATACGGAGCCGGTTCTCCGTGACGACGCCGTGTACCGCCCGAGGGTGGGCGGGTGATTGATGGTGATTGGTATGTGACGGGCTGCGGTGGCGGCGACCGCGGCGGCGGTGGTGAAGGGGGAGAGATATTTCGCCCAGGGCACAACGTGTTCTGTGGGCGCTGCGGGGCTCTCTCGCATCCGATCGACGGCGGCAGCGACGACGACTGCGACTACTACTAGTCTACAACTACTACGGCGGCGGCGGCAGCGGCGACGACGACGACTACGACGACGTTGTTTGATACGAAAAGAATGCGGTCCCTCTGCGACGTTGCCGAGTCGTCGGCCGCCGGCCGTGCGCCTTAGAATGTGGAATGTGAAATGCACAACTCGCGAGCGCTCTCCGCGCGCACTGTTACCAACACGTACCTACTCGCCGCCGCCCGACGGAATATATATCTCATTATAACACATTATTTTTTCTCTCTCTCCCGTATTATACATTTTGATTGCTCAATTCCATTCATTGCGCGTTTTCGTATCATTTTTTTTCGCGAATTTTTTTGCTGGTCGTACGTCACAGTGCGCGCGCGAAGTGGTAGGCAACCGCCGCCGCGTCTTATCGAGAAACGCGGAACACAATCGCAACAATATCATAATAGTATTATAATTTATAATGATTCGTTATTATTGAATATCTGTCGAAACATCCCTACCCACCATATCAATATATTATATTATTATATACGTCTGCGTATTTATTATGTCGATATAATAAATTAAAATAGTAAAAGAGGCGATGTGAATATTGGCATTTGAAACGTGGTGCTATATACGGAAGGAGGTAAAAGACAAGCTAATGAAAACTAATGAAAAAGTTTCCGAAATAAGTCAGAATGGATCGTTGTGGAAGAAAAGTAGAAAAGCATTCGTGAAACGAATTTATAGGTCATATTAACGGACGTTGAGGGTTGCTATAGGACTGATCTTAAAAGGGGTGATGAGGGAAAAAAGTCACAGAGAACGACCGCCATTGCAATACCTATACATAGTAAGGCAGATAATGAAAGATCAAGAATGTAATTCATACCAGGAAATGAAGAGGAATGCCAACAAAACAAAGGCATGGAAACCGATCCTCACTCCCAGATTAAAAACGTCATAAAGATCAACAAGTTTTTATCGACATCCCCGACGCCGACGACAAAATTGTAATTGACAATAGTATTGTTATGCGATTTGAGATTTACTATTTATTATGTATAGTGGTTTTGTGGGTACCCTGGTACCTGTGTAATATTGTGATCGAAATCGTCATCATCATAACGTGGGCATCTTGAAGAAAACTGTTTGGTTTCAAAAGTATCCAAACCCGTACGCTGCATAATATAACATTATTAATATTATAGAATTAAACATGTAGGATATTATTATTATTATTATGTTATGCCGCCGGTACGACGATAATAATTGGGTCAGACGTCGTCGACGGCAATATTGTGTTTTACTCGATAAAAAAAAATATATAATATATTAAATTCCGCGCGCGATCGTTATCTCGAGATATTTTAGTCGCGATGTTTTTCGTCGGCGCGGTTTGCCGTCAAGTCTGCTCGACTTTTAGAAATCGTCCAGTTTTTTTTTTTCGTTGTCCAAACCATTTAAACACACTGGTACGATTTTGTTTCCGTGCTCTTGATGTATTCGAAAACCCAATCGCGCAGGCTTCCCCGGTAAGGAATATCCATTGGATTTGAATTATAATTATACAAAATAGGTATCTAACGTTCTGTGACGATTATATTTATTTTGTATACACAATTTTACAAAACCGACGATGAAACCAAGAAGAAAACTTCGGAATTCCTACGGGTCGAAACGTTTCGGAACGTTTCGTGCAACGATCTATATAATATACTCGCAATACCAAATGAAATCGTCATTGTCAATTATTATTATTATTATTATATTATTGCAGACCATCCCGCGACGGTCGATCGTACAATATATTATGTTAAGAGCTATTGTAGCGTGGACGTAAAAATAATAATAATAATAATAAATAAATAAAAATCCTCTGCGGCGGCATCGGCTTCGGCGGCGGCGTGGTGGCGGTGGTTCCACCGGTTCCACACTTTGTGTGCTACCAGTGTTACACTCGCCGGGTCTTGGCGGCGGCGGCGGTGGCTCGTTGTAAAACGATTGAAGAGCGAAGGAAGAGAAGAAGAAAATAATAATAAAAAAAAAAAATATATACGTATATATAGTAAAACAAAATAAAAGTAAAACAAATGAGAGAAGGAAAAAAACTCCGCGGCAACGCCGCATCCGGCGGCGGCTACTAGTGTTACGAGCACAACACGATCGGATTGTTTTCTAAACTGAAAAAAAATAATACACACACACACACACACACACACACACACTTATATATAAAATAAAATAAAAACGATCGAAGACAATGAACCATCTGCTCGCCGCCGCGGTGAAATGATTTGTACCGTTCGGAATGCGTATATATAATATATTATAGGTATGTGTACGCGGACACACGCGAGCTCGCGCTTTTATATTATATTATATTATGTGTATAGTAATAATATAACAAATATGTCTTTATTATTATTATTTGAGCGGCACTTAGATAATAATATTGAGTGCAGTGTATTGTATAGAGGCACTGTATGCCTACGCCGTTGAAAATTTGAATTGATTTCGATGGCCGGTAGCGCCGGGTTTGCTGCAAATTGTATTCGGGTATGAGTTTGTTTGTGCAGGGAGGGGAGGAGAATCGTCACGATTCAGGATTTTCGACACTTGGCGTAATATTATATAAAATGTGTTTTAGGTACGCGCGTATTATAATAATAATATGTATAACCCAAAAAGGATTCCGAGGAATGTGTCGGTTTCAAAACAAAAAAAAATTCCGTACGTCGTCGATTAGCCAACCGCGTTCGACCGGTTTCCCGTCAGATTCAACAGCGGAGATTAAACATTTTCGTGTTTTTCGTCCGAGCGCATAATATTATTATTATTATTATTATTATTATTTTACCCATTATCGGCCATCGGGTGATGCTCTTGGAAATTTTATCGCTGCAGCCAATATCGATGTAACAATAATAATATATTACACCCTCCAACCATAACCCATCCCCCATCGGAGGTGGGTATAGTATTGCGTTGTACAAATCGCCAGCCTGCGGTCCTCCCGGGGTTGTTTATCGAATATTTTATAATATTATACAACTGAAAGTCGTTGTCGTTTCTATTGTAATTATATATGAAGCGATCATTTTACTATACATAAACAACAAAGAGTCAAGACGATGACTAGTTATAAAAACGAGTGTTCATTTGATCTGAATTGTATTCGTTTTCCGAGACAAATCAATGTCAAAAATCACTCCGTAGTATAATAATAATAATTATTATTATAGTTTTAAACCCATTGAAAA